TTGTTTTTGATGACTACATCACACAAGGGACTAAGATAGAGCCTTGAAGCTACTCCAGTTGGATAAATTTATCACCTGGTGCATAGCTGCCGGTTCTGATTTACGTGAACTCTTCTCAGGCTGGCTCACCATGGATGGAAGAGATGAAGAGGATACATCCAAGTTCCACCCCCCTTCTCTCAGTTTCAGGCTCATCCCTGCTTAGTAGACAGAAAGTACCCAGGGCCAGAAACAGGGCTTTTAAGGGACTGGGGGACTATTACAGTACAAAGTTTGACGCTCATGAAAAGGGTGGATTAGAGTAAAAGTAACCGGCTACCATGTTACTTCCAGTTCTTCCTCTGAAAAGTTCCCTTGGATTTCTGGCTGGTGAGTCAGATGGCCAAACTTCTTCATGGACCCAGTCTGGCATGTCCTTAACTATACCTCTATCAAGGACAGTTCATTATGGTGATAAGGGGGTGAGCCCTGTACACAGAGTCCCAGCTCTGAAACTCACTAGTTATATGGCCTTGGACAAGTCATATAATCCTTCTGTGAAGTTTTTTAATCTATATAAAAGGGAAAACAAAACCAGTACCTTCTGAGTTTTGAGAAGTTTCAGTGACTTTATATATGAAAAATATTGGGCATATTCCTTGGCACCCAGTAGTAGATCAGTACTTTTAAGCTAACATTTTATTAACTTACTTACTTATTTATTTAGAGACAGAGAGAGCATGAGCGAGAGCACAAGGGAGGGGCAAAGACGGAGGGAGGGAGGGAGGGAGAGAGAGAGAGAGAGAGAGAGAGAATCCCAAGCAGGCTCCATGCTGTCTGCACAAAGCCCAATGCACAGCTTGATCTCACAAAAGTGTGAGATCATGACCTGAGCCAAAATCATGAGTCAGACGCTTAACCAACTGAGCCAGCCAAGTGCCCCTTAAACTGATTTTATTTTTTAGGTAGTAGTAATTGAGCTTCTGTTTGATGATGAGCTCGGGGCCTGCCTGAGACAGCCTATCACATTGCTAGGGCCATAAGCCAACCCTTATGTGCTTCTCCATAAATCCTATCATAAGGTCTCATCTGCTCCATTGAGAACTTAGATCAAGGTCTCATGGAGACTCTGTACCAGGTGCAGGGCTAGCCTGTGCTCTGTCTCTGTTCCCCTTTTCTTCCTCTCAGATGGAAAAGCTGCACCGGAATGCTCTCTGGTCTTCAGTCCCAGAGCCATTTCCTCTATAACTGTACCACCCACCTTTAAATGCTGTAGGCATGCTTAGTCTTTGAACAGAGGCACAATTCCACAGTGGCTAAAGCAGATGCCCTTTAAAGGGCACTAAAGTGGGCATTGGGTTGGCTGTGTCCCAGGGCATGCTCCCATCCCTGTACCCAAGTCTCATTGGGCTAGCCAAGAGTAACTCCTCCTCATCACGTCCCTGTATAGAGTTTGTGATTTCAGCCCTGATGCCTGTTGGCTGAACTCACTGAATCTGTCTAAATCAGTGGGCTCTGGCCTTTTCAGAGAGATTCCCTGGATAAAGTATGCTCCACTGTTGCTTCATGGTCACCATTTCAGTCTAGGGGCATCTTGGAACGTATTTGGGAAAAGGTTTCTAACACATATCTAAACACCTTTAGCTTCCTTTGGACAGAGCTTGATTCTCTCCTAGAAGCAGTTTTTGACACCGCTGATTATTCCTTCCTTCTTGAAACACTCTTCTCTTGGCTCTAGGGCACTCTACTCTCCTGGGCTGTTTTATTAACCATCCATCCACTCCTCCTCTGCCTCCTACACAGGCATATCTTTGTCTACCCACTCACTAAGCGCTGTAGACTCTACTCTCTCTCTAAGCCTGCTTCTCCTTTCACCCTTTATTCTTTCCCTGGGTGTCTCCATCAACCTCGAGCTGCACAATCCATCTATCTGTATGCATAAATCACACATTTTTACCTCCAGCTCAGACTTCTTTCCAGAGCTCCAGACCTACACTTTTAACTGTCTCCTTTTCTAGAGTAAATCTCTAGCTCAGACTGCCCCAAACTTGCCCATTCTCTCTGTCTACAGCTATACTTTGTCCATCGTTTCTTGAATTCATGAACAGAACCATCACCCGCCTTGTTATGAAAACCAAATAGTGATGGTCAATCCCTGACAGTTCTTTCTCCCTCAGTCTCTGTATCCATCCCAGCAGCAGGCTTTATTTATATGCTTCTGGGGTAATTATCTCTTTTTATTGCTACCATCATCTCCTAAGTCCACACAACTATCATCTCCCACCTGGATGCCTGCCTGGAATGGTTTCAAAATTCTTCTCTCCAAGCCACTTTGGCTCTACACTGAAGCTGGAATGATCAGTTGGAAAAGTAAATCAGACCATATTATTGCTGCATGAACAACACTTAAATGGCTCCCTGCATTTTTTGGGGTAAAGAAGAAAAGTTCTCATTGTGGCCTCTGATGCCTTGGGTGGATGGGCCCCTGCTGCCTCTTAAGCTTCCCTCTCATTATGCTCTCCTTGCTTTCTCGCCCTTATTATACTCTATTGCTTTCATTTCTCAAGTACACCAGTATCCTTTCCCCATTGCACAGCCTCAGCCAGTGCTGTTCCTTCCGCTGCTCTCACTTGCTCCTCCGCCCACCGGCCATGTCTCCCCCACTTAAGATTCACTTCCCTGTTGTGTGCTTTCCAAGTGCCTTGTGCCTCTCTTTTCTCATCGTTAACAGATTTGCATGCTTACTATTATTGATTCTCAGTTCATTAATTCTGTCTCCTGAGCCCCACCCATCACTCACAGTAGGCTCTTCGAGGGCAGGGACTGTGCCTGTGTCACTCACCACTGTATCACTGAATGCCTGGCATATAGTGAGTGCTTGTGATCATTTACTGAAGGAATGAAGTGTGAATCTCTTTAAGTCAAGCCAGTAACTGTTCCTAGGGTAATAAGATCCTCTCCAGGGCCCCTTTGCCTTTGTACCCCTAGTCTCTCGAATAGGATCGCACAGCAGGCACTAAATAAAATTCATCTATGCCAATGGATGCTCCCAAGACAGCTTCCTTCCTTCAAATGCAAACAAAAAGACTCTAACACAATTGAGGAAATTGTCATCTGAGGTGTTCAGCTTCCTTTATGTTTGGTACACAGTGGACTACCCCTATCTCAGAAATCGTTACTCCAAACTAGGAAATGGGGGCTATGTATGGTTCCTCAGAACCAGCCCACATTCTGGAATATGAGACCAGCCCTGCGAAGGAGATGGTTAGCTTCCTCTCCCATGAACCCTCTGAGCTGTAGATAGGCACAGCTTGCTCAGGCAGCCCTGGGATTTGATGATCTGGTCTTGCCTTTAGCTGATGAAGAGAACTGAATATGATCTCTCATCCATAATTCCATCCAAGAGAAGGATCTCTCATCCCACAGACAGCATCGTTTGGCACACAGTACATGGGTGCTCAGTGGCGAATAAATGAAGCAAACGAACATCTTTATATCCTTCAGTAATCACATGTGAGCCGATAGAAGGAGGCTAGCCGGTGTGAGACACTGGTATTAGAGAGCTGAGAGCCATATTCCCTGTTATTGAAGACTTGCCATTCCCACTGGGGAGACTTGGCTAAGTGAATCCAGCTTGTCCCAGTTACAAGAGAGTTTGGGGAATGTGCTCTGTTAGAGGAAATGCTCGACACTCTTAAACAAGAAGAGGGGATGCATTCTTGTGCTGAAGGGCTGTTCTTAAACATCAGTGGGCTTGGGGAATCAGAATCGTAGCTAATGGGCTTTAGCTTTTCTTCACTTCAGCTGGGTTCTGTGAACACGTGGTAGAAAAAGGAGAAATTCAATTTGGTTCCATGAGAACAAATGTGTGTGGGCAGCAGTGTCATCCCTTCAGCTAAACGTTGAACAACTGCAGACATTATGAGAACACCTAATACGAGGCAGGTTCGGTGCTACCATGAGGAAACAAAGATAAAGGAGGCATAATCTCACCCCCAAGGTGCTGGCAGACCATTGGAGGAGACAGATGGAGAAACAAATAGTTAATAATATCAGCATATTGAGGTATGTGCGAAGTGTTATAGGGAGTTAGGATTTAGTGGAGAGAGAGGCGCTCTCCCAGGGGTACAGGCAACCAGAGGAGAGGCAGTCGGTGATGAGGGATGAGCTGGTGCTGAGGTGGCAGAAACTGGGAAGTGAGGATGCGCCAGGAAGAGGAGTTTTTGGGTTTAAACCTCTGCACACAAACATGGTCCTGGGGAATATGAACGGCCTCAGGAAAGAATTCACTCAGGGTACTGGTAACCCCTGGGCCACTCTCCAGAAGTGTCTGGAATGAGAAGTGGCCTCTGATCCTTGGTACATTGCCTGAAGAGCCCAGGCTTAGGTATTTTTCGGCTGCCTGCAACCGAATCAGAGAGTTTGTACCTGGCAGAGCACATAACATTGGCGTTAAATTCCAGAAATGGAGTTAGTTACATAGGAGTGTTTTCTGAACCCCAGGAAATTACTTTTAATGCACTAAATTTCTGCCACACCATTTGTTTCGTAGAACGCACAAAACAAGAACGTTATGCTTTTACCTTTAAAATTCCAGTGATTTTAATCATGTTGCCTTAATACAAAGCTGTTGTTTTCACCATTTACCAGAAGGAATAAAGTTGGGTTTAGTATAATTCCATGAACTGTATATAGATCCATGGTTTGATCTGAGGGACAAATCAGCGTGAGGGATGAAACCCTCCACTTGACCTCACTGGACAATAGGGATACCCCAGTGCAGCAGTTGTGCATCCTTGGGACACTCACTCACTTCATTTCTCTGCACCTCAAAAAAAGGGGACAGTCTAATACAATATCACAAAGGATTAATCCTCAAAAAGATTAAAAGGGACAACGTGTGTCATGCTCTCAGCACAGTGTCTGGCACATAGCGCTCAGTAAATGGAACCTGCTGTCATTATAATTGTTGTCGTATGTGTGAGCCTTTTCCATATCTTTCTTCTTCTTTCCCCTTGAAGGTGCCTCCACTCAAAATTCTAACACCGTGGAGCCAGAGAAGCAGGTAGACAACACCGTGAAGATGGCTGGTGTCATCGCCGGCCTCCTCATGTTCATCATCATTCTCCTGGGTGTCATGCTCACCATCAAAAGGAGGTGAGTGTCTGGTGCTGCCCTGCAGACTCTGCTGACCCCAGCTGTCCCAGTGCTGCCCTGTGGCTAGGTCTTTGCTCTGCTAATCACTTGTGAGCAGGCACCTTCTTCTGTGAGTGTTCAAGCCCTGATATACTTGAGCTAATTGTGACTTATTGTGTTGGCATCTGAAAGGTGTGTGCTGCCTGCTTGGCAAGTGGCCCTGAGATGGCCAGTTTCTTATGGAGCCATTGATCCCTATGGCTAGGCCACCCTGGTGTGCCATGAGATTCCATGTCATGAATCTTCTCAGAATTAGCTGCTGTGTTGTAATTGATCGTGTATCATCAAGGTTACTGGGGACCCCCGGAAATACAGATGCAGGAAAGTAATGCTTTACTCTTTTTGCCTTCCCTCACTCTGATTTCCTTTGGTCCGCCATGCATGGCAGAGATAAAGCCTCCCACGGTGTGATAGCCCCAAGGGAATATCCTTTCCTACTTCATGTCCTGATGTCTTCCCAGCTGGATTGTTGCAGGACTTTTGCTACTTGTTCTCTCTCAACAGGATGTCTTCCTGGGCATCTCTGGTTCACTAACACAGTTATCACGTGTTGCATGGCTCATGAAAGCTGGGGTACAGGCTCCTCCTTATCCCCAGGATTCCACACACTGACGTCTCTGTTTATCAGACATTCACAAGGCTTGAGGCTAATGCAGGGGAATTGCAAAGAGGGAAAGGAGCCATTCATCTAGGAAAGCTGATGAATATCAGTGTCACCGTCCCAGGATGCACTGTTATTCCTCCAAAGTGGGAGTCACAGGGCCACCTCTCCTCAGCCCCTGGACTACCGCAGTGTTTCCATGTCTACCACCCACCCCCATGTCTTCTCAGTTTCAACATCATGGTCCCAACCTTGGTTTCCACCTTCTCTTCCAGAGCAAACAGAACCTTTATCTACATTACAACATTATGTGCTTCAGTGTGCCCTGCCCCCAACTAAATATACTTTCTCATCATGAAACAAGCCAGTTAACACCTCAGCCTGAAGCTCTGGTGTCTGGTTAGTCACAGAGGTAAGAGCAAACCCAGTAACAAGGACCAGGGACTTGCTTCTATCAGTAACAAGGACCAAGGAAAAGTACTCATGAAATTTCTGTCCAAACAGAAATTTCTGGTATGTCCTACCAGAAAATAAAGGGACAGAATGCCCTAAAGACAAAGTCCAGCTTCTATCTAAGGAGTCTCATGAATATAAATGCGAAAAGTTTCTTTTTAATCCACCTTTTCAGTCATCAGTGAGTCAGAAATTCTGAGGTTCCCACTGGACATGGCAGTCAGCCTTCTCTTAGCCATTTTGGCACCAGAATATCCCTGTGTCTTTCATGACTTCTGTTCTGAATCAGCCAGTCCTCCCTCTGGCCAGGGTATCTTACTGGTAGGACCTTGTCCTTTTTTTGACATTTTTGTCTAACAGAACCACTCCTTTTCTCCAGCCCTCAGCAGAATGACGGAAAGTTAAGGTTCTTATCCATCTACTGATTTTCTAGTTGGAAAGGGGGAAGGGTCAGTATTACATTAATATTGCGGAGCAAGAGCCTCCGAAGCACTGAGGACAGCATTGCATTGTCATATCGTCATCATCCTTATGACCATATTGCAGGTCTCAGTGACAAGTCAGCTATTAGATGAAGTAAAACATGAAGCCTGGTTTCTCTGGGGGCAGTAGGCACATGTAAGATTGCTGACATGTTTCTTAGAGTCACAGTCGCATTAGAGGCAGAGGTGAGTTGGGAATTGTCTACCTGGAAAAAGTAACCACTTTAATAGATTCTCATTCCTCTTTGATAGACCTGAAGTGTTCCCATTCTTTGCCACTGATTTGTAAGTCAGATAAGCTCTTCCAATTTTGCTCTTTCTAAAGCCTGGCTTAACCCACGTCACCATCATCTGTGAGATTGTGAAGAAATTTCACTTCCTTCTCCACAGCTATTTCTGCAATGTGTGACTTTTCAGGAGGGAGGAAAGGGCTTTCTGTTTCCAGGGTGGGAACAAATATAAAGAAAATCCTTTGTGTGGCTTTAACCTCTACTGCATATCTTCATTGTCTCTCACCTCTATCAAAACTGTCCATTAGACCCAACCAACAAGCATCACATGACCACCATTTGTTTCCGAGAAGCAAAACTCAGATGTTGTGGCAGTGCGGGGGGGGGGGGGGGGGGGGGGGGGGGGGGGGGGGGGGGGGGGGGGGGGGGGGGGGGGGGGGCAGTGGAGGCTGATCAGTGTTTGCATATACAGTATCTTTTGGAGAAAAGAAGACCTTTTGCTGACCTACTTGATAGTGATAATTTATAGATAGGTGTGGAGCAAGGAAAGGAGAGGAGAAAAAGAGAACATAAAGATAGTTCTGCACTCTTTCCACTAAACCACAGTGCCTCCTGATGTCTAGAGATGCCCCCAAAGGTTAGCTCCCTTAGGTCTTCTGACTCCAGCCCCATATAGAAGTATGGGGAAAACTTCATTGTTCAATTGAGTCTGTAACTAACTTACTGCTGGCCAGAATGCTGGGACATTACAGCTACCTAAAAGGAAGAGATATTAAAGGAAAAGAAACCCCCAAATAATAGGCAGATCATCACAACTCAGGATCCTGGTGTCAGCATCTCTTCAGTGTCCCAGTGTGACGTAGAGTTCGTTCCTGGATGCAAGAACTCTCAGAAGTCAAATGTCTGCTATATCCCCTCCACTGAGTTGAGCTGGGTCTTCTTCCTAACCTCTACAGACATGGGAGTGGTGACTTCCTGTTTTCTCTTCTACTAAGGGATTCAGCTGGCTCAAAAACTTCACCAAAGCTGCAGCCAGAAGGTTTCAGTACACATGAGATGTCCCTAGCTTGTACCTGTAGAGCTCGTCATCACTGGCCTTATAGGGTTTTCTTGTGATAAAGACCTTTCCCAAAGAGTCTTTTTCTTGCTGTTAGGTGTTTTCTTTTGTGATACTGAAATAGAAAGCTAACTGAGAATGGGCTAGAGATAGAGGATCAAGGGAAAGACCTAATGAAAGCAACTAAATTAATTTACGTTCATAAGATTAGGGAGGTGGATAGAGGAGTGGGGACATAGCCTGAGGGATGTTCTGTTGTTGCTTGGTTGTTTCGCAGTGGATAGAGGGGATATTGAGAAATTTAAGGTTGCAGAAAGGGATCTGAAATTGGGGGGGGGGATTCAATTTTTTTTAATGTTTATTTACTTTTGAAAGAGAGAGAGAGTGAGAGAAAGAGAGAGAGAGAATCCAAAGTAGTCTCCAGGCTCTGAGCTGTCTGTCAGCACAGGGCCTGATGCAGGGCTCAAATTTACGGACCACAAGATCAGGACCTTAGGTGAAGTTGGACACTTAACCGATTGAGCCACCCAGGAGCCCCTGTTGGAGGATGATTCGAATAGGATTCCCTTATAGTTTGCAAAATATACAAGTTGAAGTATTTTTTGTAGTACCTTTGGCTCTTTGGAGAGGATTTCTTTGAATGCAGGTCGATACAGAATCAAGGATTCATGGAGATATAAAGGATTACATGAGCATTATAAGAAGGGAGCCTAGAGCCCCTCCCTGATACAGTTAATTACCAGGATATTGGATATTGGCTGGATAATGGCTCCATCCTTTACTCCTGGTTCCCTTGATCACATCTGGACCTCAGAATGTACAACTATGTAATAGAACATACCTCCTTTTCAAGACCATCCTGTTGAGTTTTAAAATAGAGAGAGACTCATTACTACAGTCCTGGTCATCTTCTTCCCTGGTCTCCTCCCTTTAGAATTGCTGGACATCCTCTCCCAAAGAAATGTGCAGCCAAAGGTTTGCTAGGCCACCCCTGTGGTCCCTTGTCTTACTACCTTAAGGCTCTGGGAGCCTTCAATGAAAATTAAAGTGTAAAGCTCAAGCCTGAGTGCCTTAACCTTGATGTTTGAAGATGTTTATTAGCCACACACAGATAGGAAGTTCTACATTTCAATGTTTGTTCGGGGGGACATGCACACATATGGGTGCATGCCCGCAAGCTTCCCATAGCCCCAGTTTATTCCTCTGGACATACTTCCTGAAGTCTGAGCATGGTCCTCCAAGGCTTAAGGCATAGCCATTTACTTTTGCATGGGGAAACACTGGAGCCAGGGCAAGCAGGATTCTTTGCTAGGTTTGTACCCCAAGCCTTATCTGGATCCTCTATTAACCTTTCATTCCCTTTTTGCTTTTCAAATGGAAACTGAGTAACTTTTAGTAGACCTTTTTGCAGTCAGCCCCCACACATGGTTCTAGCCACTTCCGTCCCCCCTCTTCCTCCCCCTGCCTAGCTTTTTCTGGTCCAGCCTCAATTTTCTCCCAACCATGTCTGTCCAAATAGTAACTTGGAGCGTCTTGAGTTTGAGATATGAGAGTCTACTTTGAGATAAATGTCTGTCTTTTGGTGTACTCTGATTCTCTGTGACTTGGGTCTGCCCCAGGAGCTCCCAGTCTCATGAGAACAGACATCTTATTGTAGACTGGGAGGCAGAAGAACTGGGTCCCATTTATGTGCTGTTAGCCTTGGAGAAGCAACAAAGTTCAGCCTTTCCTTTCTCAACTGTGAGATATGGCTAATGCCATGGGGTTGGTTGTTCTGAAAATCAAATAAGCTCATGGTCTTTTGACAGCCTTTATTTCCTCTAACTGCCTAGGAGGTCATAATGCACAGTATCAACAGACATTCATCTCACACATGACCATCACCTGTACCTAGGCAGCTCCTATGCTAATATGCTAAGAGCAGTGCTGCAATCAGTACACATCATCTAACCTAATTTACTTTCCATCTAAACTGTCACCATATTCTGATTTTAATACTACAAATAATCATAATAGGATAGGACATTGGTATGCCTTTGCTTGTTTGAGAAGAGGAAACTGAAGTTTGTAAAGGTTTGTAAGTTGCCCAAGATCTTAGGTAGAGAGGAAATCCAAACCAGGCTCTGTGACTCTAGAAA